TCGGGTCCCGCACAGGAATAACCTCCTTGGTCGACAACGGCAACAGTTCATGACCACTCCACACCATCCACCCACGCGCATCTCCATTATTTTCGCCCCCATTCGCAATCACATCTTCGTCAGGAACGTAGCCGAGGTTACAGACGAGGTCACCGGCCCGGAGATGCGGGAGCAAGGACGCGGCCTGAAGCTGTGTAACACATGCTTTCAAAATCGAACCATTAAGGAACGAACACGGCACAAAGACGCGGAATATGGGCGCGCGGGTCAGTCGAAACACTTGAGACAACGAGTGAATGTCGCCCAAAGACGTGACAGGCGCCGGGCTGTCGAATCCGTTGATCATTGTTGGCATGCCCGGCATCATGGAGGGCGGCAACATCGGCATGGACCGATTCAGATATTGCGAGTTACGGAAACGTCCCGTCGAAAAGGGCGAGTCGGAACCTGCATGCAGACTCTGCCTGTTCTTGCGGCGATGCGAACTCGAGGGAGGTGTATACTGCCCCGGCGGTGTCGCCCACCCAAAGGACGATGGTGGTGGATGGGGAGGGGTAAACTGTCCAGACATGGGCGGCGTGAATCGACCATGGTTCGAGTGAAACGAGTGAGAAAAGGTGGCGGGGGACAAGCTTGCCGAGGGGAACGGCACAGAAGGTGAGGTCATGGAGGCTTGGCTATGTGATCTCATCCTCGAGTCCAACGATTGGCTCATCGAATACCCCGCAGAGGGACCCAAAGTACCAAATTGACCGATACTGGGAGGGCTAGATTGCTGCTGGTGTGCGGTATGGGGTAGAGGAGGCAGGGTGGAGGGCATAGGGGGTGGCGGAGATGACACCGAACCCTTTCGCTTACTGGGTTTGAGGCTGAGCCGTTTAAGCCGTCCAGACGAGGAAGGAGCCGTGCTTGCCAGCTCGGGCACGTTCCTATCGTTCATATTAGAGGCCGACTTGGACTTGGATAGTCTTGGCAGTGGTTTGTCCTTTGTACCCTTGGACACTGAACGAGAATGAGACCGTGATTCTCGTTTTTCGGTGGTAGGCAGAGGGAGGTATGCTGGCACGACCGGCTTTTCAACACCATTGAAATAAAACAGCGGACTTGGAAACACGAGTTCGCCTTGCGCACCTCCTAGTGAATCATCTGGAGATGAAAGAATCGCGTCATCTTCGTCTTGGAAAGCTAGTTGGAGTGCCTGTGGGGTGGTTCGGTGACGGAGATACGCGACGAATCGCGAGTGAGAGAGCGTTAAAGTTTGGAAGCGCGAAGTCGTGTTTTCCTTTTCCGAGGTAACAGAGGATGAGGTCGAGGCTTGCGAATTGTGGCTTGCGATCACCCGAAGTGCGTGCATAGGATAAGCTGAAAGCGAAACGCTTTCAGACTCGACTAGCAGTACATGTCAGCAGAGTGGAACATGACAGACGGCGGCACTCACGTAACAGTTCCAAATCCGTAAGGTCAATTTTAATTCCATGATTAAGCCAAGTAGGATTTGGAGACTTTGAGGGCTGAAAGCCGCGGATGGTACGGACGAGAAAGGCGTCCCGCACGAGATCATTCCCCTCAAACAACGACTCGACCAATTTCCTCATCTCCTTGCTAGCATGACAAAAGCTCAGCACTTCGTACGCGCCAAACAACAAGCCGATGATATTCGCCACCACCCTGGGGGCCTCTCTGCAGACGGCGACGAATTTTCCCGGGGCCAGTGTCGGTTGCCACAGACTGTCTGGAACAACATTCAACTGAAAAGTACGCTCTGACGAGTAATTCCAGTTCTCTCCGAATCGCGGTCGTGCGTTCGTCGTCGCCGAGTTTGCGGTCGAAGGAGGGAGTGGAGGTGGAGTAATCGACCCGGGCGACGAAACGTCTGCGAAATGGAAAACGGGGCGTGGACCTCTGAGAGATGAAGTAGGAGACGAGTGTTCTGAACCTATTGCTCGTAGGTGTTGTGACACGCGTCGTGGGTGAGGAGGGGGAGGATCAGCGGCTGATGTCGGCGATGATGTAGGCCGACTGGACGAGTGCGACGTCGAAGGGGGAGATTCCTTTAGAAAT